CAAACACTGCATGCTAAACCAGAAGTATGTTTACCATAACTGTTGGAAATACCTAGCTATTGAAATACATTAGAAATCTCTATGCACAAAAAACAAACAAACAAACAAACTAAAATTTAAAAAAACTCAACAACTCTTACTTTTACAGTCAGGCTCCACCAAAATGCTCAAGGAAATGCTTCTTCAGTGATGCGTTTATAAACAGAATTAAAAAAATACAACTATTTAAAGGACGTTCCTATTTCTCCTATTCCCCACTTGTTAGCAATAAAGTTGTAGCCCTCTGATGGGAATTTTACTGTTTATTGCCTTTTATTTGAAGTCTGTTACACAAATATAATACTTAAAACAATACCAATAATTATCCAGGCCACTAGTATGTTCCATTGTGGTATTCCTACCCCAAGTAAAGTCCAGAAATTCATTCCACTTTATCCTCAAGAACAATCAGCTGAAATCAGGTTTCTATGGAGAATAACTTACTGATTATAGCAGAACATGGTCAAGGAAAATGAGTCAGAGATAAAACCCAATCAGCAAGTAACATGCAAGTTGTTTAAATCACTAGGACTTTAGCCTTTGAAATTATGATTTTCAATATGCTTCAGAATCAAGCATACGTTTTCCTGTAGATAAGGTAGAGCATTTCAGTGATGGTTTTACAGCAGTAAATGTATCTTATAGGTCAAAGTGTGCAAATGTTTACATGCTTGTAATACTTTTTCATTTGGACTGACTGTAACTTACATCTTTGGAAATCAGGCCAACTATGTCCCAGTACATAATTCCACCATCCCAGAAGTAGAATAGTACTCAAAATGCATAGACAGAAGAATCTGTCACAACTTCTCAAATTCTCAACTGGACAGTAATGCTCCCAGGAATCTATTCTAAAGATTTTTGGGACGCAGAGCTTCCCCTTATTTGTCTTTACTTTTCAAATCACTAGTTTTCAAGCTCTGAAAAAGGAAAACTGAATTTAAGGTATAGGATAAATAATACTGCAGCCATGTGACATGAAATGCTGAACCAGCACTCTGCCACTTCACATTTATACAAAAGCTTTTGTAGGATATCTTTTTCCTAGCAGATGTCAGATCATTATCATCCAACTTCCACCAGTCAGATAAACCTGGTATCAAGCCAGGATAAGTACCATAACATAGTCTCTAGATAATTCAAGTGCCATAATGCAGTTATATCCAGACGAAATTTATTCTACCAGGTTATTTGATAACACACAAATAGAGCATTAGTGAACACAGAGCCACAGACTTCAAGTGACTTCAAGTCTCAGAACCCATATATACTAGCTAGATTTTACTCCATGCTTTTCAAATTCCTCTGGGTTTTTTTGCTATTGCTAGCTGACATTCTGCTTGGGTTTCATACTTGATATTTCATGGTACACCTGGGCATATGTCATAGTGGTAATGTGAATAATTTTTAAAACATGTTCTGCCATTTTTATTAATTTTATTTTTATGTGTACTTCTGAAATTGTATGAAACCACACTGATACTTTAACTTAAATTAAAAGTAAATGGAAAATCTCCCAAAGATTGCCACCTTTTCCCCCCCCCCCCATATGGAATCATTTTCCCCTTATGTTCTTATCTATTTTTTACTAGCCTTCATGCAGAGAACACACTAAGAAAATACTCCTCATTTTGTTGTTTTTGCTGAGACAAACATTTGGAGAGGATGATTTTTACATTCTCCTCTTCCCTATATAGAGAAGGTGGAGAGGAAGAGCCCTTGTTTTACAGAATCCTAGAAAACCACTTGAATTTAGCACAAAAGTTTCATGGAGATTAGACAGAGTAACCAGAAAAGACCTTTTTTTTTAATCAATAAAATTGACAATTTAGAAAAATATTGTCAGTTAAACTCCTAAGGCAAAAGTGAAAGACAAAGGGCAATAGAAACATATTGCTGATCACAGCTGCGCTGTGTAGTTCTTCAGGTTGTTCCAAGAGCTTTCTCCTCAGTACTGATGAATGTCCAGTTATTTACATTGTTGTCTTGAGCTACTGCCAAAATGAGGAGGCTGTTGTGGACTAGGATTATCTTCCTTTACCAAGGTTCAGGGACACAGTCAGAGAAGATGGGATGCCAAGTTCCATATTACTTCTTTGGAGCATATATACCCAGGTCAATTTCCAAAGGCAGAAGGGAGCATTTTCAGCTACTTTCAAGTGTTTTTGTCAACTTTTTAAATAAAACCCAAATCCTACTTTATGAAAGAAAATTAGAAAATTCTTATTTGGACCTATTTATTTGTGGTTATTATAACTTCTCCTTCCCTTTCTCTTCTCTCACCTTTGTTTTCTTTTTGGTACTGGTAAGAAATACTGGTACTGGTCTTCACTTAAAATTCAGTTTTGAGAATCAGAAATTTTGGGTTTTATTTTCCCAAAAGCTTCCTGTGCAGCCACAAATAAGCATCTTAAGCTGTATGTCAGTTCTCACACCTGATAAAAGAACTTTACCTTTCTGTTTATCTGCTTTACAGACAGTTTCTTTTCTCCTTCTGCCTACAATTCTTAACTTCTGGCAGTTTTAATTTATTCATGTTTGTAAAGTAATTGAGTTGAGGATGAAAGTTGCAAGAGAAAAGCAAAGTATATTATTTTGTGGTAGAGTTGCTTTAATTAAAACATCATGCAATGTTTTCAAATAAACC